CTTCCCCCTCTGTCTCCTTTACCCTATTTCTGTTCTCAGAAAGTGAAGTAAATGTATGGAGAACATTGGGGCTGATGCCAAAGCCGCTTCAGTTCTGGAATAATAAAAAGAATTGTGTGCATTTAGAGTTAGAATTTCTGTGGTTTGACATTTAGATCTGTGACCTTGAGCAAGTCATTATCTTGATGAATTCTCTAAGCTTCAATTTCTTCATTAGAAACAAAAAAGACAAAATGACATCTTGTATAATGGAATGAAATGAGTTTATGTCTTGAAAATGCCACACAAGTGAAGAAATTGTAAATCACCTTCACTGATTGTTCCATCTGATATTTTTTCTTTTTCCAAATAGAACTTCATATTGACCTGGTTTTAACTTCATGGGACTGTTAACCTAGTTGGCTTATTGCCCCCGAAATAATGTACTTGAAATGGCAGGGTCAGACTATCTGTGTATAATTTTTGACCCCCACCCCACTACCCTCAACAATCCCTAAAGTCTGCAGTTGACTACAAGCCTTAACGGTAATTTAGTTGATAAATATGCATTTTATAAGTCATATGTTTTACATATTGTGCTCTTAACAATAAAGTAAGCTAGAGAAAAGAAAGTGTCATTGAGAAAGTCATAAGGAAGAGAAAGTACATTTATGGTACTGTAACATGTTTATCAATATCATAAATTTGGGTCTCCCTTGTGGTGCAAAGGGTTAGGACGCAGCACTATGAAGTTGTCCACAGCCTCTGCAGCACGAGTTCGATCCCCGGCCAGGGAGCTGACCAACGAGATGCAGCAGACCTCTTCTCTCTTGCCCACTGCTCCCCATAGCAGTGTATTTCAATAGATTTGCCTGTTCTGTTCTCTTCTGTCTCTGGTGAATCCTCTCACCCCCTGACACTTCTGGCATTTAGCCCTGTTCTTGTATACATAAATAAATCTTTTTAAAAAATCATAAATTTACACCACCTGTTTGCAAGAAAATCTGCATAGAAGTGGACCCATGCACAACTTAAACCCATGTTGTTCAAGGGTTGGGCTATACTCTGGACACCCTGCATGGCATGTGGGGTATAATACAAAATGAATCTCTGACATGGCCCTGATGTCAGTGCCGACTTGCCTGTGGGGCAGGCTCTGGAGTTGACTGTGGGTTGGTGTGCTGGCTCCACTGCCACACACCCCGGCAAATCATTTAACCTTCAGCATTAATGGAATGGGTGTAATAATCATTTCCACTATACAAGGTTATAATAAATAAATTGGCTGCATTTAAAATACTGAAACTCATGAACACCTAGCCCATGGGAAGAAACTGCCTATTAAAAGTGGACTCTTGTAATAATATTTTTTTGTTGTTGTTGTTTTCCATTGTGGTCACATACACACTGCATACAGTATACCATCTTAACCATGCTTGAGCATACAGTTCGGCAGTGTTAAGTCTGTTCATGTTTTGGGAAAACCCATCTTGAGATCTTATAAAACTGAAACTGTCCATTGAATTAAACTATTCCCATATCTACCCTTCCCCAAACCCCCCATTTCCTAACCTCTGGCAACTTCCACCATACTTTCTATTCCAGTGATTCAGACTACTCTAGACACCTCATAGAAATGGGATCATATAGGATGGTTTTTTTATGACTATAATCATTTTAATTCACCATCGACCCTCCCAATTTATTTTTTCGAAGATTTTATTTATTTTTGCATGGAAGAGCTGGGTGTAGGCCAGAGGTGTGAGAGGTGAGAGGATTCACCAGAGACAGAGTGGGGAGCAAAGCAGGATGATTTACTGAAATACACTGCTGAGGGGAGCAGCAGGCGAGACAGGAGAGGTCTGCTGCACCATGTGGGTTAGCTCTCTGGCCGGGGATCAAACTCAGGCCATAGTGGTGATAAGTGCTAAGACTTAACCCCTAGACCCTGGGAGGCCCAGACCTTCCCACTTTAAAGAAAGGTTTGCTTTTCTCAAACCTTAGGCATCAAAGGCTTTTTATTTCCTTTTTTTAGTGAAGAAAACACTGTGTAGCCAGCTTCACTTCATCCTCCTGGAACGGGTAGGATTATAAGGATAAGGGATATTAAAGTGAAGGAGGTGTGAAAGTGGAGAGCTGTCTTTAGTCAGGGAAGACCATCTATACTTCTCCCTCCTCCATTCCCTTTTGCATGAAAACAGATCTATACACCAGCAGAGGGAACAGCAGAATGAACCGGTCTGATATATCTGTTGTCCTGGTTCGACAGGTATCTAGATTTTTCCAGGCTCATTCTCAGCAAGTTCCAGGAAGAAGAAAACATTGGAAAAATATGGATGAATCTACATTTTCTTTCCTTGGTCATGCCAGTGGTGCTTTGTCTCTTGGGTGATCAAGAGTCTCCTCCGTTTTAGGACTTTCTCACCACCTTTAGGTTGAGGAAAAAGGAGCCAGGATTGAATGATTGTCAACCAGTCATAAAAGCCAGTTTGCCAGTCCGTGAATGACAGAGCTGTGCCTTGCAAGGGTGGTTATGATGGAACATCTGGCCCGGGCTGGGCACCTAATAACCAAACAGTGAAAGTGTTAGCAGCTACCAGTGGTGCTGTGTTTGTAGGAAAGCTCACTACTCAGGTCCTTGAGAACTTAAAACTTGAGGCATGTGGCCATGGAGCAGCAAGGTAGCCACACTTTATTCTTCGTAAAGACTTATGACAAGCATAGTTTCTAGAATCATGCCAACTCTACGCTCATTAACTCAATTTTATTGGCTGTTGTGTAAGTTCCGGCCTAGGTTGTGCTTGGGTAAATGGAGATGATTGTTCAGCTGCAAAAATTGGGCAGTGTAACTTCTTTATGTATTTATTTTTTTTGGTGGTGGCAGGTTTATTATTCTAAAAAGTCATCTAATTTACTAGTAACAGCTGCTGGTGTAGACTTTCACCCTCCTGTAGCCTTAGGATGTAAGAAGTAGGTGGATGGTAGGAAATGAAAGTGTGGGCCTTATGTATATGTATGTTCAAAAAACTTAGATTTTATAAATATAATATAGAGCCTTTGATTCTCTCACAGCATTTCTGCTTTTGAATCTTAAGTCATGTGCAAGTTTTACCTTCCTATGATTTTTTGGGTGGGGCATATTTGCAGTAAGGAAAATGTCAATGACATTTTAAAATGTCATTTAAAATGTAATTTTAAATAGCTTTTCTTAGTTAATATACAGAAATGTCATAAATGTGAAATGAATTGTTTTCAAATCATGCACAATTGAGTAAGGATACTGTTCTTCCAAAGATCCTTATTTGGTTGTGTGTCGCAACTCGTGCAACAGGTTAATTTGTGCAAAATAGTCTGCATTAACTAGTACAGCAGGAGTGCCAGGTTTCCCTGTGCTGGGACAAATCAAATGCACAGCTTTATAGGATTGTGACTTTGAAAGGTTTCCTGGTTTTTTCCCCCCTGCTAAAATCATTTGGCAAAATAGATTCAATAGGAAGGATTCTAAGACTGAGCTCAAAAAGTCTTTATGCCAACTTTTCCATTTTTTGCAATTAGGTCAGCCCAGCAGTTCCTGCAGGAGGCTTCCTTATGGCTTCCAGAGCTTTGTAATATAGACCTGTTTATTTTATAATAAATAATCTTTGTTTTTTAAAAAAAGTTATTTAATCCTTTACCGTCTCGGTCTTTTTTTTTTTTTTTAATAAAGATTTATTTATTTATTTATACATACATACATACATACATACATACATACATACATACATACATACAAGCACTGGATACAGTCAGAAGCGCAGGAGGGTGAGAGAATTCACCAGAGCCAGAGCGGGGAGCAGAGCAGGCAGAAGGACCGAAGTACACTGCTGAGGGGAGCAGCGGGCGGCAGGAGAGGTCTGCACGCCATGCGGGACCCTCCTCCAGTGGCCGGGGAGCAGCCGGGGATCGAACAGGCGCCGCGGAGGCTGCGGGCAGTCTCACAACCCAGCGCTCAATCGCTGCGCCACTGGGGAGGCCCGCCGTCTCAGTCTTTTGAGTTCATTTGCTTCATGTGCTTTTATGCTTTTCCTTTTACAAACTATATGACATTCGAGAGGGAAAAACATGGTAGTATATCGTGAAAGTCGACCTCAAACAAAAGCAGTCAGCCATTCCAGCAACAAAACGGCTTATTCACAAACAAAACAGCAGAAGTGGAGAGACCCACTTTCCAAAATTTAAGGTTAACCACCCTTTAAATAACCTCTGTAGAATGCCCCTCAGTTTCACTGGAAGAGCTGTGGGAGCTGGAAGCTCCTGTGGGAGCTGCAGGGCACGTTGAGTCCTGCGTTTGCTGACTTGTGCTCTCTGGGTCGCCGCTAGCCTCCTGATTTCGTTTCGGTGGGGTTCTGAATTTCACCGGTCACAGGTATATTATTACCAACGGAAAACAGAGCTTGTAGGTTTGAGTTCACTTGGGACTGGCCTCCCCAAGTTGAGGTGTTGGTGATGCTTGTGTCCCATGTCATCTGAAAGTGATGGCACACCTGTGAAAAGGCCTCCTGGTTTACCTTGAAGCGGAGTCCCTCGCCTGTGGCTTTTATTGCATTGCTGCGAATATGTGCAGGGGCTGGGGCATGTCTCCTGGGAGCACAGGGGCCCTTCCATCTGCCAGCATACCATCAAGGTGCTCTCTCCACTCTGCTGCCTTGTTTATCAGGGTGCAAGCCGGGTGGAATAAATCAGTGCTGCCTTTTTTTGGTTTGGGGGCTTTAGAAAAGGCTTTACAGAAAAGGAAGCAGAAATTGCTGTTTCTTCCCCCTGCACTCATTGTAGATACCTGAGGGTATTAAGGAAGGGGGGAGCAGGAGATGGGACCCCCCACACTTGCCTCTCAGCAGGTGTATCTTCTTCCCTTTGCCTTCTAACCCATCATAGAAAATGGTAGCCGTTGGGTGCTTTTTTCCAAAGATCTGGCTTAGGGTGTGGGCATCAGCTGAGTGGCTCTACGTTTCCATTGACTCTTCAGTATTCTGTTTCTACAGTCTTCCGTCTGTGCTAAGATCGTGCAGCTGCTGGGGCAGAATGAGGTGGACTGTCGCCAGAAGAAGGTGGTCATCCTGAGCCAGGATAGCTTCTACCGTGTCCTCACTTCAGAGCAGAAGGCCAAAGCCCTGAAGGGCCAGTTCAATTTCGATCACCCGGGTGAGTTTGGGGAGCATAAGGGGTGTGTGTGCTGGTTTAAGGAGGAATTGCTTAGCCTCTCTGAGTGTTTCTCATTTATAAAAGGAGGACTGAGAGCTACCTTGCAGGTTGATGGTGGGGCTTACACAAAATAAGGAATCTTGAAAGACATTATGTATGTAGCACATAATGCTGATCTGGCCTGTGTCTGAACAAGGGTAGCTCTGCATGAGCCTGTTACTCGAGATCGACTGGGCAATGCTGGTTCTTCTGCCTCCTCTCATCTGAAGCAGCCACATCACACCCTCCCTCCACCCTACATGTGTGCACATGGCCTGGATGTGAACCTCAGTGACCAGTGGGAAGGGACGTGGAGGGTCCCAGATGCCTGATTTGTGCCCCGATCTTACTGATCAGCCTGCTGCCCCTTAGATGGTTTGTTTCTTATCATTGTTAGAATGGAAACCTGTTGGTATGGTGCCCATGGTACTCTTGTCATGAGTGGGCTTTCCATGCTAATGAATGCCAGTTCCCAGGGCTTGGAGTTGTGAGGTCAAAGGCCAGGGAGGCACCATCAAGGAAGAAGAAATGACATCCTCCTAGCAGAATTCACTTCCCGTTTTGACATCGGGAGCTTGCATTCTGCTTTGGGTTGAAATCTAGCTGTGGGACTGGTGATGTGAAAAATGAAATGTATCTGTGAGCATGATTCTTAGGAGAAAGTGTGTAAAAATGAAGAAACAGTCAACAGTTTGATTTCCTTCAGATGCCTTTGACAATGAACTCATCTTCAAAACACTCAAAGAAATCACCGAAGGGAAGACAGTCGAGATTCCTGTATACGACTTCGTCTCCCATTCTCGGTGAGTGAGTGACCCCAGGCCATGGATTGCTCCTTGCTGCTCCCTTTTTCTCAGCTTCAGACCCCTTCCTATCCCTTGCCTAAAGACACCTTAGTGGCAGCAGTGAGCACCCTGAGTGCCTGAGTTGGGGAATTCATCCAGGCGCTTCCCAGAACAGCCGAGTCATTTCATGTCCTTAACACTAGAAGATTAAAAAATAGGCTTATGGATTTGGCCGGGGTGGGTGGGTTGGGGGGACTGCACATTGGTCCTGATCCACCTCCCTGAGCTGTTGTTTCTGGAAGAAAATCTAAGGGGGTGGGAGGAGAAAAGGCAGGAAGAACAAAGAAAAGCACTCTCTCTGCTCTCCTGCACCTTGCCCAGAGGAGTGGGGTGCTGATGTCACCAGAGACCAGACGCAAGGCAGCCTGGCACGCACACTCTGTGTCCCAGCAGGGCCCGCCCCTCCGCTGGCCTGGGGCTCTGCCTCTGCGGGCTCATTGTCCCACTTACCCAGTGATCCTCTTCTGGCCGTTTTGCTTCTGACCTCTTCCAGTGTGGTTCCTTATCCTAAACCACAATGGGCACCCTGTTTTCTGGAAGCTCACACCCTCCTAGACTGGTGTTTCTCAACCCTCGTTGCTTACTAGGAAAACCTGGGGGGCATTTTAAAAATAAAATGCGTTTGTTCCATATTGCAATAATGAAGTTTGTGCCTTCCAAGGGTGGGGTCCAGGGAGAAGCTCCCCAGGTGACTCTGTGTGTTGGAATCACAGCACAGCATCTCTTACCAGCCTGACCTTTTTTTTGGGCTTCCTCTGTCCCATATTCTGCCACCTGGGAGGTGACCCCAAGCAGCACCTGCCTGAGAATTTAGACAGGAGTCCAAGGGCCCCAGCTAGTCAGGAGGTGGAGTGTTCACTGGAGGGACATTGGAATGGCGCCCTGCTCAGTGGGCAGCTAATGGGCAAACCCATTATCTTATGGAACTTGGGGGAAACAAACAAACAAACCACACAGTTGTACAGGGTTTTCTAGCCAGTGCCAGCTTGTGGGAGAGTCGGGCAGATGAACTGGAGGCTGTCACCTCTGTGTATTTGTCCTCTCCACCCTTTTCCTCTTCTGAGACTTTTCCCCCTCCTTCTCTCCTTCCAGTTGCTTCAGGATTGGGGAGGCAGGTGGGGATGTTGAGAGAAGACCGAGTTTTTGTTTCTGAAAGTTCAATGTTAGGGTCCACAAATACCCAACATGAGGGAATTCTCCAGATGCCTGTGGAGATAAAAAGAAGTCACATCTGCTTTGGTCTATCTTGAGTCCTCGTTCAGCAGCAGATTTTTTATTCCAAGGGGAAGGACCCTCTGATTTGGTTTTATGGTGTAAACTCAGGAGAACTACTCAAAGGAGGTGGTCCCATTTGGGGTCTTCTTGTAGGGGTTTCAGGGCTCTTCACAGCTATATTGGCTAAACCCCTAGTCCTCCCTGTATGTCTGAGGGCAGGACCCCGACTTCCAGCCAGGAGCCCAAATCCGTTCTCCCCTCCCGCCATGCTTAGCTTGCCCTGTTTCTGCTTTGTGCCTCGTAGGAAGGAGGAGACAGTCACTGTTTACCCTGCCGACGTGGTGCTTTTCGAGGGGATCCTGGCCTTCTATTCCCAGGAGGTGCGAGACCTGTTCCAGATGAAGCTTTTTGTTGACACAGATGCGGACACCCGCCTCTCCCGTAGAGGTACGTCCTAAAGCCTTCAGGCCTGCTGGCCACCAAGACAGGCCCCTGCCCTTCTGGAGTCTGAAGGCCAAGCCTTCCCTGAGGTGGCTGTGTGGCCGTAGGCCCTGCCCGGCTGCGTCGGTTCAGCTCTGGGCTGTCCTGCTGTCTAAACGCTTGGTGACATTTGAAAAGGGATTAGTCATTTGCTGTTTTGGATGAAGGAAGGCTTGTGTAAGGTCACGGAGATGGAATCAGAAGTTTATGTTCTGGTTTTGTCGGGAAAAAGTTTGGTTAAATGCCCATTTCCTTATGATTTTTCCATAGTCATCACTGTCAAGACGGAAACTAATTGGGGGACATCTGGGGGCAGGAACCCCCATGCCTGCAGCGCTGGGCTCTTCATCCCACCAGCCTGCTTCTCTCTAGCCCTTTATTTTCCAGCAGGCTCTGGGAGGTGTGTCACTCTTTCCAGACAGCTGGAAAGCAAGGCCTTTTCCCTCTGCAGGCCTGATTAGGTACCTGCATGTGTCTCGTCCCCAACAGAACTGGTCATCAGCTGGGGAGCTGAGCCTGTGGATTCAGTTCCATAGGATATTGCATAGAGAGTTTGCTCCCACTAGAGACACCAGGAACTTTCATGGAGGAAGTGGGGCTCGGGATGTGGCTGTTGGGCAGGGTGATGACCAAAGAAAGGTACCAGAGTCAACCAAGGAAGGTATTGGGTGCAGCTGTAGACAACTTGTCTTGTTCTGGAATCTATAGAGGGTTGTAGAGAGACATTGGAAAGCTGCTTGCGGCAGGTTGTGGGGACTGAGTTTTCTGATTTGGTTCTTGTAGACAAGGGAGAGCCACCCTAGGATTTTGAGTTAGCCCAGTGACCTGGCCAGAGCTCTCTGGACAATTGTTCTAACACAGGAGATGTAAGTGGAGATGAGACAAGGGTTTGAAGACTGTTTCGTGGATCTGGACTTAACGGGTAGGGCATTCAGTAGTGTAGGGGCATGGGTGGGGGGTGATGGAGAATTGGGGAGACACAAAAAAGGTATTAGATTTGGAATTGACAAGGCCCAGCCAGGGCAGAAGGCAAGGATGACTGAAGAGAGGGTTGAAGGTGATGAAGGCTTTGAGTGTGCAAGAGCAGCGAGGCATAGGCAAGGGCCAGTGAATCAGCTCCTAATCACGGCACATCATTGGCAGATTAAAAGTTTGTCAGCTCCAGCCCAGAGACTTCTGATCTCAAAGTCTGTGAAATTTTCATGAAACACATTAGTAGTTTCACGGCAATTCATGACAGTCATTGCAAGGACTTGACAAGAAACCTGTAGAATATAAAGAAATGAGTTGCTAGGCTTTTACCCTTTCAGGCAGTCACAGGATCTGCCCACTCTTTTTTTTTTTTTTTTTTTTAAAAAATAAGATTTATTTATTTATTTATACATGCACTGGGTACAGTCAGAAGCGCGGGAGGGTGAGAGGAGTCACCAGAGCCAGAGCGGGGAGCAGAGCAGGCAGAAGGACTGAAGTACACTGCTGAGGGGAGCAGCGGGCGGCAGGAGAGGTCTGCATGCCACGTGGGACCCTCGCCGGTGGCCGGGGATCAAACTGGTGCTGCAGAGGCTGCCGACAGCTTCGCAACCCAACGTTCAACCGCTGTGCCACCAGGGGAGGCCCTGCCCACTCTTTTAACAGCTGGGGATACCCTTCTGCTCAGGTGGGCTGAGAAGGGAAGCATAAGGGGAGTGGGAGACCCAGCCAGCAGCTCTCTGACCTCCAGACCTTTATAGGTAATAAGAGGGAGATATAGGTTTCTTTATAGGTAATAAGAGGGAGATAAGCCTGGTTTGTAGGGTGTGACTAGCCAGGCGAGAATTGCCTGTTCTTTCTTGATAATTGAGGCCTGAGTCTGACAGTCCTCAAGCATCTACCCCCAGGGCCTGGCTTGTCACTGCAGCGCACAGCCCAGGTCCTTTGTTGGGTGATCTGCCCCACGTCCTTACTAGCTGACCAAGTTAGGGAGGAGCCTGATGTGTTGAGGGAAACATATTGGAGTCCCATAAACTGGGCTTAACTCCTGCCTTGGTGAAACCTGGTAGTGTATGATCTGGGGCAATTTTGTTTTAACCTCTTGGCATTCATTTGACCACCCAATGAGCAGTACTCCCAGCATCATGGTTGCAGTTGGAGGTAAGGCATTAGGAGGTAAGGCAGTTGAGGTACGGCCTGGTGGGGCTTGGTCCATAGATGATGAGGTGGCAGATCAGAAATCCTCTTCACCTACAATGGGAGACAACTTGTCTTGTTCTGTCTCCCAGAGTTTTTGGAGAGCTTCTGAGTGGTTCTAGGCTGGTCACATCCTTGGGAGCTGGTGATGCCGGCAGACACCATCTTTAGTCCAGCTGCCAGTACTAAAGTCCCAGGGGATGCAGTAGTGCCTGAGGGCAGAGAACACAAGATACTGTGTGGTAGCAGTGTCCCTGGAAATCATATCTTCTCAGCCTCTAATTCCAACAGCTAATCATGGTATAGGTTCAACTGACGTCTCTCGGGCCGGAGGCGAGTAGGGGAAGGACTAGAGGTGATGGTGACCCTCTCAGGGGCTTCCCAGGTCTGCTCTGCACTTCTCCCTTCCTCTTACAGATCTCCTGTCTTCTTGCGTCACCCACTGGCAAGTCACTTTCTTGGACTTGTGGGACTTTCCCACATGTGATTTCTGCCAATGCATTCTTTGTCCACTTTGGACAGAGACCATGCCTGGCGTGTGCTTTGTGGCATGGGTTAGTCAGGAGCGGCTGTTGTGTGAGGACATTCCTGGGGACTTGAGTTGTTCAGCTCCATGGTTTTGCTCATTTGTGTGCCATGCTGGCTGGACTTTGACCCTCACATTCCAAGTTGATGGGTTGCCTGGGGAATCATGTGGCCCTGAGAGAAGTATCTCCTTCCCATGGGTAGATGTGTTTGTAGGGATTGGTTTCCTTCCAGCAGTGCCTTTGCCTTCCCCTCTGTTGTGTACCTTAACCCCTTCTTGAACTCAGAGACCAGGAAGAACCCGGAGAGGGACCAGGACTGCGGACAGCAAGTCTCCCTTGTGATTCTGTGTCTGGTTCACGTGGTGTCAGGGCTGAGGTGGACTCCTGACTAGCCTATCTGTTCTTTTCCACGGAGTTGCATTTCTACAGCTAATCTTGAAAATGAATTGACTAAGAATCGTCTTTATTCCTGGTCCTTCTAAAATTTGTTCTTGGCTTTGGCTGCCAGGAAAGAGCACTCGTGGATTTGGGAAGGCTGCAGGGGAAGGTCGAGAAGGAAAGGTGGTGGACATGTAGCTTCTTGCCCTTTTACTCGCCTTTGAAAGGGCCTTTCTGGGCCAAGCAAATGTGCTGGGGTCAGAGGGATGATGAGGGAGCCAGTTTTGGTCCCTGGAGTTTCTGGTTAGTGCTGAGACCTTGATCTGACTCAGCCCTCTGCTTGGCCTTGTTTCCTGACTGTGCCTGAGGAGCTGGGCGTGTCAGCCCTGAGCTGGCCAGCCATGTGTTAGCCTTGGCTCACAGAGAGGGTCCTGGTCTGTTTAAGGGGATAACTCTGGGGAAGGCTCTTGGGCAGCAGAGGTAGCAAGGCCTTTGATTCTGCATATTCCTAATGTCTGGCCACATCTCCTCCATTTCCAGGGTGGAAACTGTAGGATGGCTCCTCCCGGTCTTCCCTGTTTCTCCCTCTGCTCTGTCTTTCTCTGGGCTTATGTCTTGCCATCCCCTCCCGCACCATCCCCTCACTCCCAATCTGCAGGACTGGGCCCCTCCTGCTGCTCCAGCTCTGGTTTCCTTGTTCTCTCCTATGGCTTCTGTTGTCTTTGCAATTCTCATTGAAACACAGGTTTCCCAGCACAACTGTGTGCCTCCCACTGTGCTCAATTTTATGTGCAAATACACCTGGGAGATACTGCAGGATTGGTTCCAGACCACTGCAATAAAGTGAGCATCTCAGTTAAATGAGTCACACAAATATTTTGCTTTCCCACATAAAGCTTCTGTTTATACTATACTGCAGTCCATTAAGCTTTACTTTGTAAAAATGCAGTTATCTGTGAAGCACAGTGATGTGAGGTCTGCCTGTGCACCTCCCTGTATTCCTCAGTGACAATTTCATGAGAAAGACACTAATGTCCCTAGTTTATATTTAAGGACATGGAGAGTCAAAACAGTAAAATGACTTGTCTAGTCACAGAGGTAGGAAGGGGTGGGGTCAGGATTTAAATCCAGGTCAATTTGACTCCAGGACCACAGTGGCTCTGGTTCACTAGTGGCAGCCCTGTCTTTACCCTCTTTGACCCTACCGCCTTCTGCTCTCCTGGATGTGATACAGGGGGCACTAAAACTGGCCAAGGACACGTTTGAGTTTATCACCAGTGCATACAATTGTAAGACTACTAATACTAAGGTCCAGAGAACAACAATGGGATTTATTTAACCAACCAGGGAAAAACAAAGAGTTTCTGAGGCCAAAAATGGCCATTTAACTCACCTGAAGCAGTGTTCAATGTTTTCAAGTCCTAAACAAAAGCAGCTAAGATGGTGTCTTCCCACCACTGAGGACGCAGAGTTCCTCTCCCGAACAATAGGCCACGTGCCCAAGATGGCATCTTCCTCCTACTGTGGATCTGAAGCATGTGGTAGCTGGACTATAGGCCATGTTCCAACTTAGGAAGACAACAGAAGACACACAGGACATGTTCCTGGAACTGCCAAGATGCCCCAGCATATTACCAGACAGGTGACACTCAAAACAGTAGCTGCAGTGGCTGAATGACCTGACAATAGACCACACTCACTCAGCGAGGGGCCCAGCTCTAGGTATTCGTCTTTTCTGCCAAGTCTGTAACAGCAGCAAAACCAGAGAAACAGTTTTAGTTGTTTGGTTAATTGCAGAGCCTCTGAACTTTTCCTCTCTGAGGTTGGCTGCTAGAGACTTCCACCTTCAGAGGCCCATAGCAGCCTCCTGGAAGATCGGCAGAATCCCAAATGATGAAAGCTCCAACACTGAATCCCGGATCCTGAATCCTCAAACACTGAATCCTGAACACTCTGTAGTCCTTGGCTGCTTCTGCAGTCCCTTATATTTCTTTTCAGTTGCTCTACCCCCCAAATTCCATACTTTTTGGCATTTTCCCTGTGGCTGTCTATCCTCACCAGCAACCCCCCTCCAGGGGGCACCACCTGTGGCAGTCTTTGGCTTCAGCCACCAGTTACAGATGTAGCAGGTGAAGCTGTCAGGTCTGCTAGGTCTGGGGCTGACGTGGGGGCCAGAGCCTGGGCTGAGTACAGCAGGAGCACTCCAAGCATGTGTGTGTGTGTGTGTGTGTTTATAGGGTGTATGGGTTTGTGCTGGGGGAAGGAGAGAGGTCCCAAAGTGTCAAGCCTTTGGCAGTTGTGTGAAAGGTGTGCCTTTGTAGGACTTGAAATAAAAGTACAGCTGCCTGAGTGCAGGTGTGTGTATGTTTTCCTCCCAGCTCTGATACCCTTTTGATCTGGCTTCCTTTTTTCTGTGGAATTTCTCTGGCGAATTGAAGGCTAGACTAGGTGTGTGCTTTTGCCAAGTTGAACTGGGAAGCTCCATGTGCCATGGTTCTGGAAGCTTCTGAGGCGAACCACAGGGCAGGTGTTGGGGCTTCTTAACCCGGTCTCCTTGGTAAGGGTGATTGGGTAGGTACCTGTGTCAGATGCCTGAGAGGACCTTGTCCTGGCTGGGGAAGGCACCATGTGAGTTTGGGTGGGTGGGAGGAGGGGTTGTGGGGCCTTCCAGACATTTTATTTCCAGTGCTCATGTGGACAAAAACTCCTTGTCAATCATTGGGCCCTCGTAGAACAGTCTGGTGGTGGTAGCAGTAGTGCCTGACTTCAACATTGCAGACTTTATCCTGGCCTGGATGAGAACCGCCCTTCTTGCCTGTCCCGGCCTGAGGAGGTGCGGGTATGTGTGTGCAGGTGTGTATGCCCATGTGTGTTTGGTGGGCATCCTTGTGTGTGTGTGTGTGTGGAAATAGAATTACTTTGCATCCTAACTTTCCAGAAATGCACTCGCAAGTATTGCATAGGTGTCTTTAGAGTGTGTTGCCTGAAATGGTATACAGCGAGACCATTAGAAGTGATTGTAAGTGGATATGATCTCTTCTTGGGATGGAGTGAAAGATTTACAGCTTATGAAAATAAGATTTAACATGATAATTTGTTCAGAGGGACTGTTTGGAGGAATCTCCTTCCAAACGGACTGTGAATTTGAGGAAACTGAGACCTAGGATGTTGGTGGAGAGCAACAGAACGGGATTGCAGTCTTGGACCAGCAGACTGTTTTCCATTTTGGGCCCAAAGATGCTATTAAAAAAGGTGTTTGGGCTCCCTGGTGGCGCAGTAGGTTGAGCACTGCACTGTGAAGCTGTCCGCAGCCTCTGCAGCGCTGGTTTGATTCCCAGCTGGCCATTCCCACATGGCGTGGCAGACCTCTCCTGTCTTGCCTGCTGCTTCCCTCAGCAGTGTATTTCATCAGTCTGTCTGTTCTGTTCCCCGCTCTGTCTCGTAAATCCTCTCACCCTCCCGCGCATCTGGCCTGTACCCGGATTCTTGTACAAATAAATAAATCCTTTTTTATAAAAGATTTATTTATTTATACAAGCACTGGGTACAGTCAGAAGTGCGAGAGGGTGAGAGAATTCACCAGAGCCAGAGTGGGGAACAGAACAGGCAGACTGACGAAGTACACTGCTGAGGGGAGCAGTGGGCGCGACAGGAGAGTTCTGCGTGCCATGTGGGACCCTCGCCGGCGGCCAGGGATCGAACCAGCGCTGCAGAGGCTGCGGGCAGCTTCACAACCCAGCGCTCAACCACTGCGCCACCAGGGGAGGCCCCCAAATAAATAAATCTTAAGAAAAAAAAAAAAGGTGTTTGAAGGTCCCTTAATAACACTATACAGGAGGAAGGAAGCAGAAGATGGTATCTTTGGTCAGTCTGGGCTACTTTCACCCCTTCAGTGCTGTTCCCTAAACCATGGTTTTCTCATCTTTCACTAAATGGTTTTCTAATGTAAACCTCTGGGTTGAAGTAAGCAGACACGCTGACCCTGGGAACCACTGGCTGAGAGGGGCTGGGGTGTGGGCGGGGCATGTGTGATGAGGTGTTAACACCGTTGCTAAGTTGCTGGACTAAGGAGCACAGGTAAGTCAGTGCCAAGGGATGAGGACCAAGGTGAGCAGAGGCCACCTGTCCGCTTTGCCACCACCTGACCAGGCCTCGTCTGCTTCCTTTAGCACCTTCCCAGGACTGTCCTGCTATTTATTTGTTCACACTGACGTTTCAATTCTGTCAGATGTTGCTAGAAATAAAGACTGGTGGCCTCAGCTCTCTAGCCTTTGGCACCAGGGAGCGTTTTTGTCATGGCAGACTTTGACTGTAATAGGACACAGAAATATAACTTGTTTTTCCCAATGCTGCTGCCACTGACTTGCTCTTAATGGTCCCCTGGGAACCCAGCTTGGGGCTCAACCAGCAACACGGTGGCGCCCTCGCACGCCCCGGCTGCCTCACACGGGTGAAACAGTGTTGGCTCATACGCCGTTTCTTGATTCCTATTTCTTCTTCTCTTACAGTATTAAGGGACATCAGCGAAAGAGGGAGAGACCTCGAGCAGATTTTATCTCAGTACATTACTTTCGTCAAGCCTGCCTTTGAGGAATTCTGCTTGCCAGTGAGTTTTGTTCTCATTGGATTTAGAATTTAAAATGGACTTGTACAAAGGAAGGGGTGGATGTTAGCACGATTCCCCAATTGGAATCTCATTCTCCCTGAGAGCTCCTCCATGCCAAAGTCCTAAGAAAGGGCAGCTTTGAGTGCTTTGTCTCTTACTCTGCTGAGTTAGTTCTCCGGAAGCTCCAGCCTGCTGATTCCAGAGACTTGGCCATCTGTCTGTCTCCCAGGGGTCTCGATGTGGGAGTGTAGGCAGGGAGGTCTCTGCTACAGGTATCCCTCTGACTCTCTTCTGCCACTCCAAAGAGCCCAGTTTAAAGCTGTCTTTTGGCCCCTGTATAAGCTCCCATTTGGAAAGTGTCCCCACTGGAATAAAGTTCTGTACTTCTGCCCTGGCACAGGCTTACCAGTCCTACCCCTGGCAGCTGGGAATTCTCCAGTGAGGTGGCTCTCAGAAAAGGCAGATCAGGACACAGAGAATTCTCGCTATTTAGCAAATGGCCCTCAATTCTGGAACACCCTCTGCTCCCTGGGGAAAGACTAAAAGGGAGAACCTCCAGGGACAGAGGTGTGGAGGGGGGACACCATGGGAGACAGCCTGGCTTGGGAAGGGAGGCCCCTAACTTTCTGCTCTATGTCTTCTCCAGGTTGTCCAAACCCTGGCTCAACTCCCTGTGGATTTTTATGATTAAGTCGGGAGGAGTGGAGGTGTGGGGAGTGATAGGGCATTGAGAAAAATTGAGAGTGAGGCCAAGTGTGAGGATTTCACAGCTTCTCCTAATAATTAACTTTCTTAACTCCTTTCCTGGATATTGTGATCCCAGATGATCTTTGTTTCTTTAAGTCTGTTAGTAGGTTTTGCGTCAAACCAGACCTGACTTTTGTGTCAGGTTGGAGATAGGCCGACTTTCTGAGTCAGCCTGAGTAACCTGGATGCCCTATTCCTTGCCTTGTGGACGATTAGGTTACGAGATCAGGTTTCTGGGAAGAGGGCAGAGGAGGAGGGCAGAGCTGGGAAATCCTATCCCTCTATCTGAGGATCTCTCTTACCCTTCTTCACTTTATAAGGAGAACACAAAGGAGACTTAACTGTTGGACATGCATTGAGGCTCACTGCCAATTTTCTGCTGCTGAACTGAATTGTGGGTTTCAAAATCCTGCACATTTTTAGGCTGGTTTTTCCTTTTCCCCACTATCTAGCCACACTGTGGTCAGGGAAGATCAGCTCATTCCCATGTAAGCCTGGAAACTGGGCCCACTCAGTTGTCTGCCTAGATCAAGTTGGGTTTGTGCCCCAACACTGACATGTCACATTTCAACAGATGTGGCGTGGAAGCCGCAGAGTAAAGAGGCCGGCACTGAAGACACTGTTTATGTGGTCTTCTGGAAACGTATTGTGTGCCATTAGGTCATTGGGAAAATGGTCCACACAAAAGCTCGGTAAATTTAAAAAAAAAAAAAAAAAAAAATTATATCTAATTGTGGTCTTTAAAAAAGAATTACTGTAATAACAGAGCCAATGGAAAAACAGCCATTGACGGGAATTGCTCATTCTGGGTTTCTGCCCTTGCATAGAAAGACTGTGTGTAGAACTCCAAGGCCAACCGCTCCTCTTTTAAGTTGGGGTTTTTCTAATTCATACTTTTCCTACTGGGGAAGAGGCAGTTACATAATGGGTTTCAAAGACCATGTTCTCTAAGGTCATAAACTTAAGGAATATTAAATGTTAATAATGTGGATTCAAGGAAAAGATGATTCATTGTAATTCAGATAATCTGGATTAAAAAATATGTCTCCAAAGCCTCAAGCTGTTGCCCTCTGGGTTCATGGTGAGGCTAGTCCCTTTCCTGGTTCCCTCCAAGAGGGCCTGGGGCCAGTTTCTCCCTGACCACCTCATTAACACATGGTCAATATCTTTCTCCACAGACAAAGAAGTATGCTGACGTGATCATTCCTAGAGGTGCAGATAATATAGGTGAGTCCTCAGTGGGTGTTGAGACGTGGGCATAGCCTTTATCCTTTGTCAGTCTTACTCTGGGGTGGGACTTGGTGACCAAAGTCCCACCTGAAGGGAATTTCTGCCTACATGTCTGGCCTTGGGAACAGGCTTCTGTGCTATGTATGGTGTGTATGTGTGTGTGCCTACCGGTATAGGCGCGAACTTGAACTTCTCTAGCAGAAATCAGAGGCTCTAGATTGCCCTCTGCTGTTATGCCCATTCATGACACCTGGAGACCATGTGTTTGTGGCCATCTTTAACAAACAGGGATTTACTTTGTAATCTAATTTACGTAGTCTTCCATCAAGGTAACCCTTCCTAAAGGAAGCTGGTTGCTGTCAGTGTGCAATTATTTGTTTGTTTGGACTTGTCTAGGTAGTATGGCTATCTCTGCTTTTAGGCGCAATGCAGAGTAGTATGACTGTCTCTGCATTTAGGTACAATAAGGGCAGATTGATTTGTAAGAAAACCTATCTTAGTTTTCTTTATAATTGTTTTGATTTTCTTCCTTTTAAAAAGGTTTTTTTTTTTGTTTGTTTGCTGTTCCAAGGGGAGTCTATTACAGCGATGAATATTTATTTAATTTTTTTTAAAAAAATGGGCATTTTCACAATAATCACAATGTAATCATCAAATACAGGAATGATATTGTCATTTATTTATTTATTTCTAACGATTTATTTATTTATACAAGCACTGGGGTACAGGCCAGAGGTGTGGGAAGGTGAAAGAATTCACCAGAGACAGAGCAGGGAGCATAACAGGCAGAAGGACTGAAATATACTGCTGAAGTGAGCCATGGGTGAGACAGGAGAGGTCTGCTGTGCCATGTGGGTATCTCCCTGGCCAGCCAGGAATAGAACCGGTGCTGCAGAGGCTGCAGACAGCTTCACAGCGCTGTGCTCAACCTGCCGCACCACCGGGGAGGCCCCTGTTGTCATTTATTTTAACCTGGAGTTCTAGCCCTGTTTGTCTTTGTTTTTCATGACACTGATAATTTTGACACATGCAGGCTAAGTTAACACAATTTGGAGGATTGGGCTCAGTTTACACAATTTGGGTAATTTGGCTCAGTTCACACAATTCGTTGGGTTGGGCTCACTTTACACAATTTGGAGGTTTGTGTACAATCTGTAGGACTGGGCTCAGTTTGCACAATTTGAAGGATTGGGCTCATTTTACACAAGTTGGATGATTGGACTATTCACAAAATGTGGAGTATTATGCTCTGTTTTCAGAGTATGGAGTAGTGGGCTTAGTTACATGGTGTGTCTATTTGGGCTCAATTTATGTAGTTTGTCTAAGTTGGGTTCTGTTACACAGTCTTTTTAAAAAAAATTATTTATGCATACAAAAACTGGGGTAGAGGCCAGAGGTGCGGGGGATGAGGAATCACCAGAGACAGCGGGGAACAGAACAGGCAGATCTACTGAAATACACTGCTGAGGGGAGCAGCGGGCGAGTCAGGAGAGGTCTGCTGTGCCATATGGGTTAGCTCTCTGCCTGGGGACTGAATTCATGTCACAGTGGCTGGCAACAGCTTGATAACGCTGAGACTTTAACCCCTGCACCACCAGGGAGGCCCCCATTACACAGACTTAAGACTTGAGTTCGGTTTATACAATCTGTTGGATGCTGTGGACAAGGTGTCGTGTCGTCTTCTTTATGCATCACCTCAGAGAGCACTTGTTTATTCCACTTTTGGTGATGATAACCTGAATCATTAGCTGAGGGTATATAGTTTCTTTCTTTTTTTCCTCTTTTTTCTTTTTTTTTTAAAGATTTATTTATGTATACAAGAACTGGGGTACAGGCCTGATGTGCAGGGGTGAGAGGATTCACCAGACAGAGTGTGGAACAGAACAGGCAGATCTACTGAAATACACTGCTGAGGGGAGCAGCGGGTGAGTCAGGAGAGGTCTGCTGCGCCATGTGGGTAGCTCCCTGCCCGGGGATTGAACTTGTGGCGCAGTGGCTGCAGCTAGCTTCATAGGTTGTATCTTAACCCCTTGCACCACCAGGGAGGACCTATATAGTGTATTTCTAATGCAAAGAAAAGAGTCTCATTTCATTGCCTTTAGAGAAAGCCCTTCGTGGGTTCACTCTAGGTGGGATGGTAAGGTGGTAGGTCCCAAATGGAAGGTTCTCATAACTGATGGATGGGTCAGAATGGAAGCTCGTGCCGTCAAACCTATAGAATTTGATTGGTTGCTTTTATCCTATCATAGAATTGCTCCTCTGATTGCAAGCCCAGTCATTAAGTGCTCAATGTGTCTGACTTACTCTTAGAACTTCTTTCTTGTGAGGCAGGTCATGTGCGCCCCCCTGGAGTCAGGGTGAGGTTGAGTGGCTGCTAACAAGTACCAGAACCAAGTTCCCTGGAAGGGGCTTCTGCCCTTCCACCCAGACAGACATAGCCTTGTACATGTGTTCTAAACCATCCAACCCCGCCCGCCCTGCACATGCCTAACCCTCTGCTGGTCTCTGCCCCACAGTGGCCATCAACCTCATCGTCCAGCATATCCAGGACATCCTGAATGGAGGGCTCTCCAAACGGCAGATGAATGGCTACCTCAATGGCTACACCCCTTCTCGCAAGAGACAGGCCTCAGAGTCCAGCAGCCGGCCTCATTGACCCCGCCTTCAGACCCCGACTCCCATCTCCATGAGACAGGAGGAAGGGTCAGGAGGCGCTGTTCATCTGTACATACCGTTTCCTATATGACATACTGTATGTAAGAGAACACCATGAAGATGAAATGCCTTTGACCTTTTTCTTTTCTTTTTTTGTACTTTGGAACAGCAAAACTGAACTTGACCCTGAGCTTAAATGACAAACTGTGCCAACTAAACTACTGGTAATGCCTAATAATGACTCCAACGTGTAACCAGTTATAAATACATATACATACATACATACATACATACATATATATATATATATAAAAGGATTTATTTTTGTGTAAATGTACAAATACTGTAAAGCTTTGCTGTAAGTATTTTACAGGAGGACCTGTACTTGAGGGTTTTGGAACTGGAGCTGAAGTTTCACCAAGGGGGATTTGCCTGCTGTGTTCCAGGCGGGCCAGGCCCCGGCGTCCGTGTGGGAGATGGGGAGTGGAGGAGAGGCGCGTCTCTCGTTGCTCTGAGTATATATGGAACTCGATGGGAATGGAGTTTGAAACCTTTGATTGCCTCCCCTGTCAGATGCCTCCTTTTTGTTGCTGGAGCTTAATGATATGTCGATGAGAAATTCTCTTTTCTTTTCTTTGAGTTGAAATTAGGCAAGACCTCAATTCAAAACTCAAACTCAGGGAAGAGGCCCACTGAAGAAAACAAGCCATCTGTGTTTTCTTCTTCCCCTGCCCCCCATCTCTGGCTTCTTGGGTAGCTCAGAGACTGCTTCCTTGCTCAGCTGCCTCACAACCTTCCCAAGAAGTTGGAGGTGCCTGGCCCTCTCTGCTTGCGTGGCAGGGATCTGATGGGTTCCTTCCTGGTAGGATGGGTGAGAAGGGCTGGCACTGTGCCTGCTGCAGTGTCTCCTCTTGCCTCCCAAGGAAGTTACTGAGCTTATTCCTTGGACTTTGTCCCAGATGGTGGGGTGCAGGGGTAGCCCTGTGCAGTCTGGGCTTTGCTTGAGGACTTTTGCTAACCAACAGTTTGCAGCCCCTTACAGGAGGCGAGAGAGCTCTGCCCATATAGGGCCAGTACTTTTGGTCACCAGTACATGGGGTTCTGCAGCAGATGAGGATGGCATGTACCTTTCATCAGGGATTCTTACTGCCGGCATTGCAGCTGGGAGGATTTACTTATTACAAGACCGCCAAGGGGACGCTAGGACTGCGGCGCAGGTCAGGGGGAAAGAGGAAATAGTGTTTATGTTGTGAGTACTCAAATTGGAGTCTTCATTTGAAAACATTTGGAATTCCAACTTTTCCAAGGGCTTCCTCTTGGGGATACTTCTTTATTTGGATTCCTGAAGCTTCTTGGTGGAGGAAATGGGATCAAGTGGGTTCAAGGAGATGTGATTGTAGCATCCTAAAGCCTCAGCTTTTAACTGCAGAAGAGCCTCAATTTTTTCATATCACTGCTGACCAGATGCTTGGTGCATAATTCCATTCTGACCACCACTGCCTGAAACATTCTGGGGCGCCCTACTCCCTCCCTTGCTTTGAGAGCCCATTGGAGCCATTCAGGTCCATCTGACTCTTGCTCTGGGTCACATCAAATTGTCCCTTGAGACTCAGCACCATCCTGTTAGATCCCCTTTCAGGACTCAACTCTAAATCTTTTCTGCTGTTTGCAAAAATCAAACTTAGTCCCCAGTGGTGCTTGGCCACCCAAGACAACCCAGGAGTCGGTGCTGCGGGCTTACAAGGTGCCCACTTTTGTAACCACTGCCTGGTTACAAGGTGCCCACTTTGAAAGCTGGTACTCCCCAGATGGAAAAGTTCTAGAATGTGTGATTCTGAATCAATATTTACTATCTTTCTAGCCATGCCTTGTATCGTTCTGAGCTGCAGGGTGGACAGCAGACTGGGTTTGCTTCCTGAGGAGTCGGGGCCTCTCACCTCCTGTCTGACCTCAGGGGCAGCGTATCGCTGTCCAGGAGAACGTTTCAGTGGGTAGCACGCTCAACTTTACTTGAAGCTCCCAGGTGCCAAACCATTTAGTGCCTTGGCTGACTATCCCACTGCCTTGGAATATGGATTCTTTTCATCTCTGAGCCTTGACTTACTTAACCGCCCTCACCTACCTGTGGTGTTGGGACCAAGCCTCCAGGGTCTCTGAGAATAGCCCAGTCTTAGGTCAGAAACTCCCACCCTTCGTGGCAGTAAAACCATCACCAACTCTTGACTTGACTGGGGTTCCTGGGCCGTGCTCTCTAGGCAGTGCCGACAGCTCCCCTGATCCTGTGACACTATGTCTGGGGCACCATAGAGTATGCCCCTCGATGGTGACCCCAGCATTTAGCCAACTGAGTATCCAAACTTGAACTTCTATGTGACCAATCTGGACTTACTATTTTAAGAGCCACTGAATCTCTGATTCTACTGGGTAGTTGGGGGTAGAATCACCGGGCAGAAACCATGGCATGCAGAGCAGGCACTCTGCTGTGCAGGGAGGAGATACCTGAGCAGAGTGGGGTTGTGTTGGCTGTGTGTGCTTGGGAGTCCCTTGGCTTCAGAGCTGCCCCGTGGTGCTTGCTTCCCCCTCCTTCCCCTGCTACTGTCCATGGACCAAGTGTTCAGAAAACAAGCATCGTGTCGTGGGAGGGCCTGGGGCACTCTCCTTCATGCCAGTGGAGCTTCTGCTTACTTGGATTTCCTGCTCTTCAGTGGTCCCCACCCAGCACGAGTAGAGGTGAGGGTCTGTATACGGAAGATGCAGTGTCACCTCCTCAGTGTCCTCTGCTTGGGAGTGGATGGGTCAGCCCTGGAAGAAGAGGTGTTTAGGACAAGGTTGCTGACAAGCAGGGGGAGGAGGGCAGGGCAGGGCTCTCGTTCACCCTTCAGAGGTCACTATCTTTCAGCAAATCCTCTGTTCTTGACTACTCAGCTCTCACGCAGAGGCTGGCTTCCTGCCTCTCCTGGGCTGGACACTGGGTGCTTGTCTCCATGCCTAGGGAGTGTTGGCAGTCTCCTTAGGTCATTAGATTGGGCTGAAGGCTTGCCTGCTCCCTGAAGCAGCTGGCAAGCAGGAGGTGCAGGAGTCCAACTGTTTACTTTGCCCCCTGCTCCTGTGCAGCTCCTGGATTTAGCAGCCTTGACCCATGCTGGTGCCCAAGACTGTTGGAGGGCAGTAGTAGCTTCGTGCAGACAGATAATTTGCTCTCACCCAGGTAGGCTGGGGTGGGTGCCGCCTCACAGGGAGGCTATGCTTCTGGGAAGACCTCTTCATCCTGTAATTAGGGTGCTGCCAGAGAGACAGTCTTGGCATCAGCTAACGCAAAGGTGAGAACAGGCTGGGAAAAATCACTTGGTGGGGGACTCCATTCAGTGTCCCCTTTGATCTGTGTCTCTGGGTGTCACTGCCTCCTGGGGCTGCTGACTAGACTCACAGGCCACCTCCTCTGCTCAGAGGTAGTGAGTGCCTCGCATGTCCTGCTCGGGAGTGGGTTGAGGAGCTCAATCCAGACTTTGGCTTTGTTCCCTTTCAGATGCTTGCTCTGCCCCCTTCTCTTTCTCCCATCCCACTGTATTGTTAGTCGTTATAAAAATGACAACATATCATGTAATTTGCTGTAAATAAAGATGTAACAAAAAGAACCACCTCTTGCCTTTTTTTTTTTTTTTTTTTTTTTTTTTTTTTTGTGGTATTCAAGCTGGAGTAGCCACCGAGGCCGTGGGAGGGTGGTGCTTCGCATTTGCAGAGTGGATAAGGTGACACAGCCTGCTGTCACCAAGCCTCACAGGCCTGGCTGTGCCCCAGACCTTGCTGGCCTCCGGTCCTGGAGAGAGACGTGCGCTTGTGCGTGTCTCCTGCATCCCTGGCACCTGGACAAAGTTACCTGGGCTGGTCTGGCTTGCTCTCAAGAATGCCATCGGGTTTATATGTCATCAGATTATGCAAACTCATTACCTCCCTGGGCCAACCCCACATTAGAAACCCAAACAAAACCTAAATAATCTTTTGTGGGCTGGGGGCAGGGGAAGTTCACACCATGAACAATTTCAGATGAATACACATACGTTTGGGTGTGTTACTCAGAATGAATTTAATAGTCTTACCAACCTGGAGAGATGTTCTTGTATCTCCCTATATTTCTCTCCCAGTTTTTCAAAGACCGAGGTCACTCATCAAGGATGTTAACACTATTGGCTGTTGTGCTCTTCATAAGCCCTACCTGTTTCTCATCCCTTCACCCCCTGCCTCCTGGGTGCCCTCATTCATGTGAGCACGAGCTCTTAGGGCGGCTGCTTCACTTGCAAATGCAAACACACTTTAAAGTTCAGCAGAGCCATGGGCACTATGGTTTAAGTGACGAAGGCTGCTGTGTTACAGTGATCCTTCGGGTGCTGGAAGAGCTGGTATTAATCCAGCATGACTGCCTCTGGCAGATGAAGACACCGTGAGAGGCGGTGACTGTTCTCACTCCTCCCGTCCCTGGTGCTCCACCTCTGGAGTTTGAGGCCTTGGAACTCAGCTCACTTTTCAGAACTTAGCTTTGCTCCTCAGTTGTCACTGGAGGGAGAGTGTTGCAGATCTTGGGAGCTCTATCTGCCTGGCCTCCCACCCTCTTGCCACCACATGTGAGTCAACCTCCCACCCTTGTTTGGCCAGTGTTGCTTTAGTCCAGCCCTATGCAGAGGAGAGGAAACCTGATAGGACAAGCTTCAAGATTTTTAAAAAAATTTTATTTATGCATACGAGAACTGGGGTACAGGCCAGAGTTACAGGGGCTTAGGGTGGCTGGTGAGAGGATTCACCAGAGACACAGTGGGGAGCAGATCAGGCAGATCTACTGAAATCCACTGCTGAGGGGAGTGGTGGGTGAGACAGGAGAGGTCTGCTGTGCCATGTGGGTAACTCCCTGGCTGGGGATTGGTGCTGCAGTAGTTGCGGACAGCTTCATAGTGCTGCGCCACCAGGGAGGCCTAAGCTTCAAGATTTTAAAGAGAGCCTGGGAGGAGACCTGGGATGTGGGGAAGCTCACTAGGAGAAGGAACCAGGGAAATGGATTTCTATTTTCTGGTGCTGGCGGCTGTTCTCATAATTATTTTGAGGTGTAGCATTAGATCATTTTCTAAAACAGAATGAAGTAAACCCATTTGCTAAAACAAACTGCCTGTGTGAGAGAGAGAGAACATGCACATGCGCTTATACAAGTTGTAGCCCAAACTTTGGGCTGAGATCCTCCATTTCTAGACTTCCTGTCAATCCCGGCTCCTGCACTGTGTGAGCTCTGAG